GTTTACTCATTCAATTCTCACAACCACCTTAGGAGATAGGAGTTATTGGTATCCCCATTTTACAAGTAGGGAAACTGAGGCGCACAGAGAGCAAGGAACACCAAATAGGGAACAGTATTTCAAATCTATTGTGTCATTCAGCCTGTGGACACAGAAATGTGGAGATGGCAGGTTGCAGAGGAGTCTGGGTGCCGGCCTCCTTTTATAGCCAGGGAGACAGAACCCCCGAGGAGTGACTTTCGCAAGGTCATTCCAGGCTCTGAGCAAGGGTCTGCGTCAGGTCTGCGTCAGAGCTGCTGCTCACCGGCTGGCATTCCTAAGGAGCTGGCCCCCAGGGTTGCATGAGGTCTTGTCCTGCAAGAATCCTAAATGCTCTGTTTTCTTTTCCTGCGGGCCTGCTGCTCTGGGCAAACAGCCCCAGCCAGCCTCTGCCCCAGCTCAGTGGGTACCTTTCTTCTCTCCCGCATCACCCGCCCTAAGCCCGCATCTTCCTGCATTGACCCAGCACATTGTAATTCCAGGTCCCAGCCCTGGGCCTTCCCCTGTGGTTTCTCCAGTACGTTTGGAAAAACCTCTACGGGCCTCGGTGACCCCACTTGGCCGATAAGGGCGTTGGACTGAGTGATCCCCAAGATCCCACCCTGGCTAGCTCTGAGGTGCTGGGAGTCTCAGGTTGTATTTCTGTGCGCTGTCCAGAGTGGCCGCGTGTCTCCACCTGGCCCTGCTCAGACCCTGCCCGCAGCCAGGGTCTCCCTCTCACCTCCACAGTCAGGTCTGGGGGGGTCAAGAATGGAAACAAGAAGACCAAAGGGTGGGGGAGCATGAAGGGGGAGGATCCAAGAAGGGGTTCCCTCCATTGCCACCCCCCAGTCTTTCGTCACTCCATCCCACACACTGTCACACTGTTCCAGCCCCCAAGGCCTGGTCCAGACCCCTAGGACCCCTCCTCTGCCAGTGGGATAAAAACAGGGAATGCAAGTTGGGGGCAGGAGGGTGGCGGGAACAGCCCTTCCCTGGGAGGGGACCCATGCAGCCCCCATGGCTGCCCCTCAAGGGTGCCAAGAAGCCTTGGCCGGGGCCGAGTCCAGGCCTTTCCATCTCTGCCGAGGGCCGCACCCACTGCTCAGAGGGAGACACAGCGAGTGTGCCCAGCCACCCCACCCCGGCCAGCCCTTGCCTTCCTAGGTCAATGACCTTGGGAACACCAAGAAGGATAGGACACTTCACACTCATCCCTCTCCCTGTCTCCCGGCAGACCCACTGAACCCCATCCCAAGGCAGGGAGAAGACTCGAAGGGCGGGGCAGCCCGGGCCTCAGGCCGAGTGGCAGGTATAGAGTGTCTTGGGGGTATCAAGGAAGCAGGGTCTCCCCCACGCCCTCGGGGTGTGCATTTCCTGGCTTCAGAGGAAGCTGGAGGCAAGGAAGGACACACGGACACCTGGGGGCCAGGGGCCAGCACTCAGGAGAGGCAATCAAGTGTTGACACGCTGAGAACCCGGGAGGTGTCCTGGGGTGGGACAGGGGAGCCAGGCCCAGGGAGGAAGTGGGTGCTTCAGCACGCAGAGGCCCTCCTGCGTCAGTTTCACCTGGCACAGAGAAACTGGGCTTGGGAAGTCTCTGGGGACAGGGCTGTGCCTCGCCTTCATGCTGGGGGCCGGCTGATAGAATAAAGTTCCTTCCATCAGAATGGAACCTGCGAGCCAAGGATGGAGGTTAAAGACCAATCCCAAGCCCTGCACATTTCTGTCATTTAAATTGATTATCTTTATGGAAAATAAAGTGCCCCCACCCCCCAGCACATTCTGGATACCAAATAAACTTCAAGTTTATTTACTCCGAGAAACATGTTTATTTACTAGGAAAAAAAAAATAGACTTTCATCTCACTTGTTTTCAGCATTAGATAAAGTATCCACACGGTTCAAATGTCCAGGTAATAAACCTTGAGAATTTTCCCAATACTTCTCCATCCCCTCCGTCCCGGGTGATCAGTTACATTCGTTTCTTAAGTATCTTTCCAGTGTTTCTTTGTGCAAATGCAAACGAACATTCTTCCCTTCCCCTGGCTGAGGGACCTCTCTGACAGCTAGAACGAGTCCCAGCAAGAGCCCAGGTTTGTACCTGAGTTGGCCCCTTTGACCTCGCAGGCCTCACCTGGCTGGGGTGACAGCCGCGGCCCTGCGTGCCACTGTGCCCTGAGGAAGGCACCAGCAAGGGCTCCATAAGTGCTTCTTGGTTGGGGTTTATTTTGAAGAAGAGATCGTCCGAACTCAATCTGCCCGCTATGCCCTTAAATTTGGCCGAGCTGCGCTTCTGGACAAGTGGATTTGGAGACAAGGGCTCTCCAGGTGAAGAGGGCGGGTTCTGAGCAGGGGACTCGGAGAAGTGGGGCGAGGCCATCGCAAATGTGGAGGCAAGTGGCACTTCTGAGGTCTGTAGGTCCTGGGGCTCTCCGGGCAGCGAGGCATCCCGGTCCTGGGAACCGAAGTCGTGCCCGCGTTGCCCTGGCAGCTCAGCCCCTGCAGCCTCGGAGGCCAGTTGAAAGCCCTATCTAAGGTACACAGCATTATCTCCATTCCTCCCCGCTGGGGGGCCCGGCCTCCCGGAGGTCCTGGCTCCTGCTGCGTCGTTAATGTTTACCGCAGCTGGAGAGCAGCGGCGCACACCGCAAGGCCGCCTTCCCACGGAGCCGCACGCGTGAACTCCTTAGACCGCCTGGTGGCACGGAGCAATGGCATCAAGTCCCTGCACACCCACTGGCAGCCCTGGCTCCTTCCAGTGCAGGGGGGGGACAGTGGGACATAACCAACCAAGACCGCCCTGTCCAACCCCCTTGAAACGTGGCTGGTCCAAACGGAGACGCGCTCCAACTGTAGGACACACCCCAGATCGTGAAGACTTAGCATGAAAAATAACATACCTCAGCAAGTTTTCACTATTGATTACCTGTTGAAATGACATTTTGGATCTGTTAGGTTAAATAAATATATAAGTATATAAAATATTAAAGTTAAGCTCACCTGTTCATTTCACTTTTTTCTTATGGCTCCTAGAAAATTTTTAAATACATATGTGGCTCAAATTATAGTTCTACTGGACAGCACTGACCCAGACCATTATAGCAAATATATCTTGGAGGCTGCACCATTGTCCTTCTGCCTGGCCCAGAATGCAGTCACAGTACCTGCTCCCGCACCTGGAGCCTGTCCCACCTCCTGCCATCAGGCTGAGAACCCTTTGAGAACCAGGTTTCCTCTCTCCCCTAGTTTTCTTGGAGTGTCAGACACCTGGGAGGGGGGACAGGTGGCAGTATGGGGAGCAGGCCATCCACGCCCTCTGCCAAGTCAGTGACGGGGCAGCCCAGGGAAGGCTAAGCCCACTGCGCTGGGGCCCGTTATAAACTTCTGTGTCGATTGACGATCAGATGACAAGTTGCTCATTTCATCCAGGTGGCCTTAAAAGGAGGCATCATTCCCCTAAGACTTAAGGTTCAGGCATTTAGCAAGGTGTGGAAGACACTGGGTCAGAAATGGCTGGCAAATTACTACATTTCTTTAGGAATCCACAAATAAACGCAGGAAAAGTCATGGCACAAAATCTGTCTCCTTCTAACTTCTACTCTCACTCCACCTCGTTCCACTGTTCTTAGACACACTGACCACACTGGCCCGTCTTCCCTAGGAAAGCTCTTCTTAAGAGTGGAAGATCCCCCAAGTCCATTCGTTTCTAAACTCAACATTCCAGTTCTTTCCTCCTTTCTAATGCCCTGTGCGTTCCTTCAATAGACTGCTGTGGCTCCCACCTTCCCCTCTCCCAGCTGAACTCAGCTCCCCTCGTGCATATGGACTTGCTACTGCTGAACCCGGCATGTCAATCACCTCCCTCATTCTAGATATGATACGTCCATTAACCCAGCCTGTAATTGTCTTGCTCTTTGGATTACTACACATCGCTGCTGACACACAGGGAGTTGCCAACAAGTCTCCAGGTCTCTGTACTTAGTGCCTCAACTTCCTCCCACTTATGCAGTGGGGATCCCAATGCAGGGCCTGGAAAATGTCACTTTGTACCACAGTGTCCCTCATGGCCACCTGCGATGGTTCTTCTGGGTCCAGATGCTCTCACTGGTCATTCGCTTTTCCTCCCAGGGACCTCAGTGTACTATCTAGGCCCTCATCAGCTAGTGGTGGGTCACGGTCCCAGTCCTATGGCCAATGCACCAGTCTCGTCCTACTTCGCCTCTCAGCCCCATTGGTCACAGCTGGTCACCCCTCCCTCTTACTGAAACATTTTTTTCACTTGATTTTCAGGTCATCACACTCTCTTTGTTTTCCTCCTACCCACCCACCCTGCCACTCCTTCTCAGCTCCCCCATTCTTTTAACACTGGGACACTGCCTGGCTAGTCCTTGCACCCCTTCTCTTCCTTCTCTTCACTCTCACACCCTTGGCGAAAACACACCATTCGCAAAACTGTAGGGAAACAGACCCCCTGAGACATCCAAGATGGGAACAAAAATGGCTACAACTTGTATGGAATTCGACACTTTGACAATATCTATTGAAATTAAACATACACAGATTCTTTAGCTCCATAATTCCACCGCCGAGGATTTATTCTGTAGAAACTGCATGCATATCACATACATCAAGCATGTGGGAAGTGACATCCAGACAGGGTTATTCACTGTGGAGATCCCTTTTTTTTTTTTTTGAGACAGAGTCTCACTCTGTTGCCCAGGCTAGAGTGAGTGCCGTGCGTCAGCCTACGCGCACAGCAACCTCAAACTCCTGGGCTCAAGCGATCCTCCTGCCTCAGGCCTCCCGGAGTAGTTGGGACTACAGCGTGCGCCACCATGCCGGCTAATTTTTAAATATATATATATATATATATTAGTTGTCCAGCTAATTTCTTTCTATTTTTTTAGTAGAGACGGGTCTCGCTCTTGCTCAGGCTGGTCTCGAACTCCTGACCTCACGCAGATCCTCTCGCCTCAGCCTCCCAGAGTGCTAGGATGACAGGCGTGAGCCACTGCGCCCAGCCTATTGTGGAGATCTTGATAAGAGAGAAGGGCTGGAGACCGTCGGGGCTGGTTGGATGAATGATGGGGCAGCCATACCAGGGACCCCGCAGGCATTGAGAGCACGAGGCAGCTCCAGGTGCGCTGCTGTGTAAACATCTCCAAGATCCACTGCTAGGGGAGAAGAAACCGAGATAAAAGATGACAAGAGAAATACGCTACAAGCGGCCTTTTTTAAAAGGATAGGGATAAGTACCTAGGTAGGTTGGATGGAGAGAGGATAGACGGGGAGACGACATGCGTAAGAAATGGCAACACCAGTGGCCTTGCCTTTCAATGGTCCTGACACAACCAGTCCTGGTGAGCCCATTCCGGCTCCTGGTGCCCCCTTCCTTCTCCAAGTGCTCACTAACCAGTCCTTCCGCAATCTACAGGGATCCCTGCCCCGACTCCGAACCACGTTTGCCCTTCGCCAGGCCCTGCGCTCTGAGCTCCTCAGAGGGGACCCGTGGTCCCGGCAGTCTTGTTCACATGTTTCATTGGTGCCTGAAATGCCATTTTATGGGGAGAGGCCCCTTGGACACCCCAGGAGCAGCTAGCAGGGAGGGGCTCATCCCACCTCCAGGGCTGCCAGGGCCGCCCGTTCCTCTGCAGAAGCCTCTGGGTCTGAAGGCCCCTCTCCCGGCAGAGGGGCCGCAAAGGGCCCCACTCTGTCTTCACTCCGCACACCTGTGCCGTGAGGCCCAGGCACAGCCTCCTCCTCCCTTGACCTTGACCGGCCCTGATCATAGCTCAACAAGGCTTGCGTTGCCTCTAGCATCTTTCACAAACCTCTGCCTATTCCTGTGTGCCAGACACCCTCTTTACACACCGGTAGCCCTGGCTCGTGTCTGTCCTTCCTGCTCTGTTGAGCCTTCTTAAGGCAGCAATTTGGCAAAGAGCTCCCCTGCCACGCTCTGATCCCTTTGGCCGCCACCCCTCTTTCTTCATCCCTGGAACACAGACTGCCCCGTGTGCGATTGCACAGCCTGATGTACATTTTTTGAGAGCTTCCCAGCCCTCTTGAGACCTCTGTCCCTCCCAGAGATTCGTGCCATGGAATCTTGCCTATCTCGTCGCTGAAATATTGGCAGCCTGACTTTGGAAAAATCTACGCCAGGCCTCCAGCAGCTGTCATCTGAGTGGCTGCAAGAACCTCCCCACCGGTCTCCCTGCTCCTGCCTGAGCTTCTCATGGCCTCTCCCGCCCATTCTTGGCACAAGCATTGAGTAATCTTTCTAAAATGTGCAGACTTGTAGCACAACTTCCAAAGACCACCATGGCATGGGTTCTTCCCACCTTTCCACCTACATTTTTATTCTCTCTCTCTCTCTATCCTTAGCTAAATACCTAATCGATATCTAATTGTGCCCACTTCCCTGGACACACCCTATTATTTCACATCTCTGTGCTTTTGCTCCTGTTCTTTTTTTTTTTTTTAATAAGAAACAGTGTCTCTACCTATGTTGCCCAGGCCGGTCTTGAACTTCAGGCCCCAAGCAATCTTTCCAACTCAGCCTCCCAAAGTGCTAGGATTACAGGTGTGAGACACCGTGCCTGGTCCATGCTCTTGTCCTTGGTAGGGCTGTTCAAGACCTTGCTCAGGGGCCACCTTTTCCGGGAAACCTTTCCTGATGTCCCCAAGTCAGGCTAACTCTGCTCCTCTAGGTTCTGTCTGCATGCTGGGCCTATCCTAGCTCTTACCACTCACGGCAAACACTGTTCATTCTACCTAACAGCCATTCCGTCCCACCCCTCCTTCCTGGCCGCAGTACCCCTCCCTTTTCAAGCCACAATGTATGGAGGCCCGGGGGTGAATCAAGCTTCATCTGAGCTATCGTGAAATCCTGTCCCCATCTGCTAGGCCCTCAGTTTCCCGCCTCCCTGCAGCATTCCCTCTCAATTCTGGCCAGTGAGACACGAGAGGTTGTTTTCTGAGCGGGGGCCTTCTGGGAAACACTTTTCTTCCCTGATAAAAATATAGTCCCATTTTTTCCTTGGCCTTTTTCTTTTTTTCTGCCTTGAATCTAACTGTAGGAGGCATCATAGCAGCCGTCTTGTGACCATGAGGCCACAAGCACACAAAGTTAGCATGCTGAGAATGGCAGAGCAGAAAGATAGAAAAAGCCCGAGTTTTGGTAACATCACTGATGTTATCCTTTCACCAGAGCTGGAACCACCTCCCTTCAGACTTCCTGCTGCACGACATTGATAAATGTCTCCATTGCACAAGCCACTGTCTGTTGGGTGTCCCGTTACCGGAGACCAAATGCATTCCCAACCGGGACAGTCTGTCGTATGAAAACTGCCTTAGAGCCTGTCTCCACAACCAGACCATGGACTCCTTGACGGTGGGCATGGTCTGATTCCTGTTAGTGTTCCCAGAGCCTAACACAGTGACTCCATAAATGATACTTCAAGGGAATCACCTTTTGGCCCAGCTTTCCCCTGTCACTGCCACTCAGCCAGCCAATCCCTCCTTCCTCCATTCACTTCCACCACTCTTGGAGAGATGAAATGGTCCCCAATTCCAGTTGAGAACTGGTTGGATGCCATGCCCTGGCAATCCTCACAGATGAGGTCCCCACCCCCTGTGTCACGCAGGGCCAGGCGGGCACTGTGCACGGGAAAGCACAGTCCTGTCCTCCTGATGCCCCAGCACACAGAGGGCAGGACACACGCTGGTAGCATTGACCAGAAGGTCCCAACATCTGGCTCCAGATTTCTACTGCCCCAGGGAATCTCACCTTCACTCTGTTTAGGAATAGAAGTTCCTTGAAGGCAAAAACTTAGCCTTCAGAACACCCCTAGCCGAGTGCAGACACCTACTTAACAAAGAGGGTTTCTGGGTCAGCCACTCCCACCTGCCCACCTACTGCCTTTCCAGGGCTTGGCTTGGGAAAATGTGAAGTCCCAGAACGAACCACCACCCCAGTGCCCTAGCCCTGCTCACTAAATAATAGATCTAATTACTTAAGGTACAAAATATACTTTTTAAACCTAATCGATACTGAGCACTTAAACACTGATGGCATTCATATTGATCACTGAGGGCTCCAAACATGTGTACTGAACACTGAATGCAGAACTCAGCTTCTCAGTAAACTCAAACAGGAAGCATCACCCTGGGATAGCTCTCCACGTCACCACATTACCATCTGGTACCTGTCCTCACCCAGGGACTCACCCCGTAACCCTCCAACCCCTCCGTGGAGCCTGCAGACCAAGGCCCACCTTGTGGAGGGCTCCAGCTGGCTGCTGGCCAACGTGCCGAGCCAAGTGTGTCCAAAGAGCCATTGTGTCTGTCCCCAAACCTGTCTGCCAGTCGTGCTTATCATTAGTGTAATTGTATAATTTACCAAAATAGGACACAAGATAATGAAATGTGACTGTGAACAGAAATAGTTTCCTTTTTTCCTTAAAAGTCCAAGTTGAGTACTTTGGGGAAGTTCGGGAATAGGAAACTGCAGGAAAAACTGCCATTGAGTTAGGCGTAGAGGGACAGACTGCAAAGAGTGGTGCCAGTGGGCAGGACATGATCCCGTCCTTGACTGGTTCTGTGAAGAGCTGTGAAGTTCTCACTCCGTGTTAAATCACCCAAAACTGGAACCTGAAGAAGAAGAAGTCAGTGTCAAGGGCTGGTTTGTGCGAAAAGACTATTCAGGGTATAGGAGGGCCTGCGCCCAGGGGAAGCCTTCAGCCGTACATCAGAAAGCCGGTGAGGCCCTGCACGGTGGCTCACTAGCACTTTGGGAGGCTGAGGCAGGAGGATCACTTGAGCCTTGGAGTTCAAGATCAGCCTAAGCAACATAGCAAGACCCCGTCTCTACAAAAAATAGAAAAGTTAGCCAGGCATGGTGGCACCTTCCAGTGGTCCCAGCTACTCAGGAGGTTGAATCAAGAGGATTGCTTTAGCCCAGGAGTTGGAGGTTGCAGTGAGCTGTGATGATACCACTGCACTCTGGCCTGGGCCACAGAGCAAGACCCTGTCTCCAAAAAAAAAAAAGGCTGGCAAATGTTAGCACATCCACAGGTCTCCAATTAAAAATGAAATATTTACACTGCGAAGGTTTTTATTTTTATGATCTCCGTTCTAACCAACCAACTACAAGCCTTGATGGTAGTGGGTAGGAAGGCTTTACTGCACCAATTGTAAGCGCTGCGGCAAAAGTTTTATCACTGGAAGCCTCTGCTTCCTTGTGCATTATCCTCTGCCCCACCTCCCAGGGCCACGAAGACTACCTGGAAGAGGGAAGTGGTCAGCACAGGGCCTGGCACTGGTAGGCACCAATCCTCATTTCCACAAATGGCATCACCCTCCGACCAATCCAGCAAGCCCGAAATCTCCGCATCATCCCTAGCACGGCTCTCTCCCTCCCTTCCCAACTCCTGCCTAACTATCCCCGAAATCCCGCCAAGTCTGCTGCTGAGAACCCTCACTGGAGCTCCTTCCCCACGGCAGCTGCCCTGGACCAAGCCACCGCCTCTCCCACCTGAGGTCCCTACAGGACCCCACTGCTTTCTCAGCCCAGCCCAGAATCCAGCCTCCTCCTGCAGCGGGAGGGATGGTTATAAAGCATGAATCTAATCATGTCGCTGCGCTTAAAACTCTTTAACAACCTTCAAACCTCCTTCACATACCTGAGAAAGCCCTACACACACACACACACACACACACACACACACACACACACACACACACGCAGCATTCCAGATGCACCAGCTTCCTGTCAGCTCATCAGAATGCACTCTGCCCTTGCCTGCCTCAGGACCTTTGTACACACTGTTCCTGCTGCTCGGAGCAGTCCTCGCCCCGTCATGACCTGGTTACTGCCTACTCATCCTGCGGGCCTCTACGTAGACGCCATTTTCCCAGAAATGCTTTCCCTTTCACTTGCACAAAAAGTATTCATTCAGCACCTTCTGATGCCGGGCATTGCTCTGTGCACTGTGACAGGGAACAAGACAAAGATCTCTGCCCTTATACAGATTATATTCTAGCAGATAAGAAAGATAATAAACAAGTAAATAGTGGCAATGACAGCATCTGATCAAAATGATTTATTTTCTTATTATTAGAGGTCAGTTATTACCAAAAATAATTTGTATTCTTAATTGTTTAAGAAAATTAGGTTGCAACAATATATCATAGGCGTTTATTTGTGCCAATGACTGTTGAAATTGAGTTCTAGGATATTGTTTCTGTTTGTATAATTTCAAAAATGTGACTCTGGCATGTTCCCCCCATCAAAAAATAAAATAGAATACAGTGGCCCGGCTCATGATATACATACATATGTATGGAACATACATACCTCAAAACTGACATGTATAGCAAGTCACAGGCTCACACGTGTGTATACATGAAAATACACCAGATTCAAAACATCACACACATGCTCAGTCATAAACACACAGAGACAAGCAGCCCCCAACCACCCCACCTCACACTCCCCAAATCCCCGCCTGCCAAAACCTGGCCCTGCCCGCTGGAGGCATGGTTTGCTGAGGGAGGCAACTGTCCCTCTTCCTAAGATGGCATCATTCAGATGACAATCGGCAGCTGGGGTGGCGACAGGAGGCCCTAAATTCTGCCCCCACTCCCAGCAGTTACCCAGCAACCTGAGCCCTGGCAGAGGCTGAGGTTAAATTAAAATACAGAGAGATCAAGGTACATTGTAATTTTGTGGTCATTCTCCACTCTGACCTCTACTCAGTCCCCAAGCCCGGTATCACACTCAACACCCATCCCATCACAGCACACACCAACCACGCACCCCAGCTCACGCACGGCACACACTCCCACTGCCCACCCGCCGCGCCCACCACCTCTACCCCCAGACACAGACCCCACTGATCTGACTCGGCGCACTTACTGGAAATTCACGCACTCTCACGGGTACGCGTTTTACCCACACCACTCGCAATCCCCATGCTCACGTCCCTGCACTCACACCCACAAACCACACACTCTCACACAGGCCCATCCCACAGCACGTGCAGATGCAGGTCAGCCACTAGACTTCTCGGAAGATGGGGACATCTGGGGTGGGAACATCTGGGGTGTGAACCCTGACTCCCCACCCCCTCCACACCCACACCCTGTCCATGCCCTGCCCTCTCTCCTCACCACTACCTGAAAGGGGTGACTCACTGCACCTACACCCAGAGCCAGCCACGCAGGGCAACGTGGTCCCTCAGCCCCAAGCCAGCTCCACGCTTCCCCATCACCCACTGCCACCTGACACCGCCTGCCACACTGCCCGGGAACATCCAAGAAGAGGCCAAAGTCTTGGAGACAAGGTACCTCCCGAGTGGGGCAGGGCAAGTCACAGGACCTGAGGTGACGTCAGGGAACTCAGGACATCAGGAACTAAGGAAAGGCTGAGCCCTGGGCAGAGGGCACAGCTGACTGCCTGGGTCTGTGCGGGCCTGGCCCCCCTGGGGCACGGCTGGCCATGGCGGCAGTGAGCAGGGAACGCAGGGCAGTGGGGCGGCCGCGGGAGTCTGTCCCATTGCCTCTGGACACGGGGAAGGAGCTCCAGGGCTTGGCTCCTGGGTGCCTCTGAGAGTGACAATGATGCCAAGGAGCCAATCAAAAGTGTCATATCAGAAAATCACTGAAGGAAGACAAGGCCAGCACCCTTTCATAATGCCTCTTCTCTTCTCTCTCCGATGCCCTGGCACCAAGAGCAAACCAGGCAGCCAGCAAGCCCTAAGGAAAACAGACACTGAGTGGTCTGGGCCCCTCAGCGGGAGCAGAATCATGGCCCTGAGATGCCGCGATTCTGTGACTTGGGGTAGGGGCACAAGGAGAAAGAAAGGGGAGCCCAGCAGCCCTCCTCCAGTCCCGCCCCACCCCTCAACCTGCCACCTCCACCTGAGTCCATACCTGGGGAGGTGACTGTTCACATGGACAAGGCGTGGTCGGACCTGAGGTTACAAACCTGCCACCGCAGCTCACCCAGCCCCTGTCCCAGCCCAGTCCCGGGATCTCCTTATGAAGGCTGAAAAGCAGCGGTTTGCCTTCCCAGAGGCCCTTCGCAGGGCGGCGGGAGACAAAGACCCAGCTGTGCGGCAGGATGCTGGAGAGCAGGGCTCAGAGCTGCAGCAGGAGAAACTAAGGTAGGAGTGAGGAAGGACTGCTGGCTTGACAAAAGACGATTGAATTCAATTAACAGACACTGAGTGTCAACTCTGTATCGGGCATCATGCTGGGTGCTGGGGCCACAGGGATGTAGAATGTGTTCTCTGTCCCCAAAGAGCTGAGATTCTAATAATGTCATAATGACAGCAGCCAGCACCAGCAGAGCACTGTGATGTGCTAAGTCCTCTTCTCGGTGCTTTACACGTCACTGGATCCTCTCAGCAACCTTCTGAGCTAGATATCATTATTATTCCCATTTCAAAGATGGCAAAGACATTGATGCATAAGAGGGTCAAGTAACCTGCCCAGGGCTGCACAGCCAGAGAGCGAGGTTTGGAACTCGGCGCTCTGGCCCCAGAGTCCACGCTCCAGCCATGTCAAGCCCATCCTCCTGCGCAGCGGCGGCAGGCCGTCACGTGCCCATCCTCCCAGTGCTGGGTGCCTTCACCAATCACGCCCACCCGCCCCTGCTCAAATCCTCTGTCATCACACTTGGGCCGGATTCACCCATTCACCAAACACAGGTCGAGCACCCACTACCTGCCAGGGCCTGTGCCGGTGCTGGGAATGCTGAGTCCTGGCCCCTAGGGTGCTTTCAGCCTGGTGGGTGACATCGTCCAGGAAAACACAGAGACAGATCTAGAGGTGTTGTAGGCACAAGATACTCCGGAACCCCAGGTGAAGGAGCCGTATGAGTGGCATCAAGAACTAGGACCATTTATGAAACTTACAAAATTTTAGTGCATCAAAAGATACCATCAGGCCGGGCACGGCGGCTCACGCCTATCATCCTAGCACTCTGGGAGGCCGAGGCAGGAGGATCACTCAAGTTCAGGAGTTCGAGACCAGCCTGAGCAAGAGCGAGACTCTGTCTCTACTAAAAATAGAAAGAAATTATCTGGACAACTAAAAATATATATAGAAAAAATTAGCCGGGCATGGTGGTGCATGCCTGTAGTCCCAGCTACTCAAGAGGCTGAGGCAGGAGGATTGCTTGAGGCCAGGAGTTTGAGGTTGCTGTGAGCTAGGCTGACACCACAGTACTCTAGTCTGGGCAACAGAGCTGGACTCTGTCTCAAAAAAAAAAAAAAAAAAAAGATACCATCAGAGTAAAAAGGCAACCCACGGAATGAGAGAAAATATTTGTAAATCTTATATCTGATAAGGGTTTGATATTCAGAATATATAGGAAACTCTTAAAACTCAACAAGAGCAGCAAAAAACGTGATTCGGAAATGGACTTGAGTAGACATTTCTCCAAAGAAGATATCCAAGTAACCAATATGCACATGAAAAGATGCTCAACGACACTAACCATTAGGGAAATGCAAATCAAAACCACAATGAGATACCACTTCATACCCAATTGGATGGCTACTACCCAAAAACCAGAAAATAATAAGGGTTGAGGAAGATGTGGAGAAATTGGAACCTTTGTGCATTGTTGGTAGGAATGCCAAACGATGCAGCTACTGTGGAAAACAATATGGTCATTCCTCAAAAAATTAAAAATAGAATTACCATATGATCCAGCAATCCCATTTCTGGGTGTATACATATACCCCAAAGAATTGAAAGCAGGGTCTCAAAGACAAATCTGTATACCCATGTTCACAATAGCATTGTTCACAACAGCCAAAAGGTGGAAAAAACCCGTGTCCATCAATGAGTGAATGAATAAGCAAAATGTGGTACATAAATACAGTGCAGTACCGTTTGGCTTTAAAGAGGAAGGAATTCTGACACAGGCTGTGAAACAGATGAACCTTGAGGACATGATCAGTGGACTATGCCAGTCACAAAAAGGTAAATACTGTGTGATCCCATGTGTGGTACACGGAACGGTCAGATTCACAGAGACAAAGTAGAATGGTGGTTGCCGGGGCTGGGGGAGGGGAATGGGGAGTTGGTGTTTCATGGGTAGAGTTTCAGTTTTGCAAGAAGAAAAGAATTCTGCAGATGGATGGTGCTGATGGCTGCACAACATGAATGCATTTAATACCACCAAATCGTACATTTAAAAAGTGGTTAAGATATTAATAGTAAATTGTTTTGTGCATTTTACCTTGATAAAAAAAATTTTTTTTCTTTAAAAAAAGAAACCAGGGGCAAAGTGTAACTCCAAAACCAGCCAACCTCAGAGGAGAAAGTCTCCTTGGCACAGCAACAAGAGAAGCAGCAGGGGAATCAGCAGCAGGGGCAAGCTGAGTGTGTGCAGGGCAGAGCTGGCCTCGGCCACCAGGCCTGGCTGTGTTCTGCATGTGTCACTACCCCGCTCAAGGGCCCAGTCTCCTCACCTGTGTGGTGGGATCCATAGAACCTGCTCCACCAAACCCCTAAGAAACCCTGTCTACAAAGCTTAGAACAGGATAAGCCGTGAGTGCGCGAGTTACGAGTTACAACACAGCCAGTAACAGTTAAAAAGCCACAGTCGGGAATCTGGTGGAAGTCTTTCGATTTGAACCCCTGAAACAAAGACAAAAGCATTCAGGCGTTCCTGAAGAGCTCTGCAGATCAGGAGTAGGAAAAGAGCACAAGCTTGCGATGAAGGCGCCCAGGAGGAGGGGCGTCCTCCCCACTGCGGGGTCATCTTGTCGGTCCCTCTGCCTCCCCCAGTCTGTCAGAGCCCCTGGCCTGTCTCCGGGCTGCAGCGAGGCCACCACCACTTGCAGGCTCAGAGCCCAAGGCAGTGGTGGGCAAGTCCGGCCTGGCTGAGCCCGGGGCCACTAGATTCTCACCGCAGGAGGAACAGGAGATGTGACGTTGGCTGGATGGGGTAAACCTCCAAAGCTCTCTGGAGGCCTCGTTGAGCCGCTCTGGTGGGAAATGCAGAAACGCAGCCGCCACCCGCAATGGCAGAAAGCACGAACTCTGATGCGATGCAGATCAGGGTGGAGTCCCCCTCCGCCTCTGCTCTGTGGGAGCTTCCTGTCTACTCTGGCAGAAACGGGGCTGAGACGTGTACCCTCCTCACGGGGCTGCTGTCAGGGTGACAAGGGTCCATATGCTATGCCCAGGGCCCAGCAGAGGCGGCTTTGGCACTATTAGTGCTCATGCGCTGCTTTCCAAGGCCGGGAGGGGGTGACAGAGATGGAGGGTGGAAGAAAGACTGTGGGTGTTGTCAGGTTGAGACAGGGTGATGCCCGGGCACCTTCCGAGTCTGGCGGGACATGAGTGTGGAGGGAGGGGACAGTGAGGAGTCCCAGGGCCTGCCCTAGCCACAGCCTGACCTCCTGAGGTCCAAGACATGCCCCCACATCCCGTTTGGCTGTGAGAGCCTCCATTCCCCGCTGCAGAAATCCTGAGCCTGGCATATTCTTTCTTCTCCCAGATGGCTCTCCTGTCAGAGCTGAGGGGAGCACCCTACACTTTACTCTCCACTTGGGGCTCACAAGTTCCCTGAGCTATTAGCCATTAAAGATGCCGGTCCTTTCTCATGGCCCAAAGCCAGCCAGGAGAGTTCCCGGGAGGAGGCAGCATCTGCAAGGGCATGTTCAAAGGAAGCCTCCAGCCTCCTCCTCGGGCCGGGCCACCCTCTGTCACCACCTCCCACCCATCCACCCCCCATCTTCACACACACCAACATCTGGATCTCTTGGTGACCCAATAGATAATCATTAACCCGGACCCTGGGAAGAGATGACAAAATCACCCCCATGGACTTCGCACCCTGAAGCTGTTGGGGAAAACAAGGCCTGGGAGCTGAGTGCAAGAGTCTGGCCAGGCAGACCCACAGTGGGCAGCCCAGCCCAGGCAGGGGCTCCTGCTGGCCCTTTTCCCTCCGTCTCCCCTCTGGCAGGCTCGCCCCACGTGAGCGCAATGGAAACGCTACTGTGCACGCAGGGCTGCAGGAGTGACGTTGCTTTCAGGTGGACGTCCTCTCTGTCCAGATCGTTAGGCTTCAGTGCACACCTTACCTCCTTCCAACGAGGGTCTCAGGCTTGGCCATCCTTTCAAAGCCCATCTGTCATTGCATGAGAAGGGGGACCCTGGTAAGGACCACCATGGCTGTGTCCAGCACCCTGCCCAGAGCCTGAGGTACTGACCCCGAGAAGGTACTGGCCCGGCAAAGGTGACACGAGGTGGCAGATCTATGAGCGAGAGCACAGGGGTGGGAGTCAGGATCCCTGGGTTCTGGACCCAGCTGTGCCCTGAGTCACTGCAGGGCCTCCAGAGTGGCCCATGTCCGAGCCCAGCGTGTGCGTGCAGACGATGGCCCTCTCATGGCCAGCTGCTGTCTGTGGCTCTGTGCCCTTGAGCAAGGGGTGATGGAGCAAGGGGTGTTGACACAGGGCATGGCCTCCACTCTCCCTCTTCCCTGCGACCCAGGACCACAGGCAAGCCACAGCCATAGCCTGGGGCTAACTGTGGCTCCTGCGCTGACAGGCTGCTCTGGCAAATATCTCAATTTCTTGATTGGTTTGTGACCTCCTTGAGGCAAAGGAACGACACCACCTCCGGCTCAGAGCCAAAGCAAGCACAGCGCTTGGCACATCAAGAGCCCAAGGCATCTAGGAGAGAACCAGTGAATGAGCGGACATCAATGGTTTTCAAACATCAGCCTTGCACGTGTAAGGAAGCCCCAGGTCTGAGTCATGACGTGTAGCCTTGGCCACCCATGGGTCCAAGCTCTTTCCCCAGAAGGGCTGGACAACCTAGAGGGACCATCTGACCGCCCTGGGCCTCGTCCAGCTCAGATCCCCGAGGCTAGTTAGCTGGTGAGCGTCAGTTAGGCTGCTGTGCGCAGGACACTGGAGAGGGTGTCACAGGGCCACATGGGACAGTGAGAAGACACTGTCTCTGCCTTTGGTTGTGGTTGAAAACACCGATATGAAAGCATCCAGGAGCAACAGCAGGGAAAAATCCGGACAGGAAGAGCAGACCAAAGGCGGGAATGGGAAGACACAAAGGACAGGGGAGACGCAATCCCAGGAGGCTTCTAGAGAAGGCAAGTTTTGAACTATAGACCCAGGACATTAGTCCCATTCATTCATTTGCTTATTCATCCATTGAAACAGACCGTTATTAAAAGCCAAGCCCTGAGGTTGTGTGAGCCTATAGTCCCAGCTACTTAGGAGGCTGAGGCTGGAGGATCGCTTGAGCCCAGGAGTCTGAGGCTACAGTGAGCTATGATCATGCCACTGCATCCAACCTGGGCCACAGAGTGAGATGTTGTCTCAAAACAAAAACAGCCAAGCCCTGAGAATCTGATGGCAAACAAACACAATCCTTCCCTCCGGTTGCTTGCAGCCTCAGTGGGTAGGCAGCACGGAAACTCGGGTTCCCACCCCATCAGAGGCGTGACTAGATAGGTATATAGACCAGAAACTGGCGCAGAAACGGGCGTATATAGGCCAGAAACTGGCGCAGTGGAGAGCATCTCAGGAGGATCAGTCTTAAAGGACCCCACCACCAGCACCACCAAAATCCGCCCAGTGGATCCGCACTTCGAAGGGAGCCGGAGATGCAGATAATGAGAGGAGCGATGGGAGGGACCTTTGTAAAGCAACAGGTACCTGACAGGTAAACAAGGCTAATGGAGACCTGTTGTTTTTCCAGGTTCTTGGTGACCTCACCTTTGACCAACAATTTCCTGGCACTGGCTCAGGCTGCCAAGGGGGGCAGAGGGGGAGGAAGAGGAGGGTAAACAGCAGGTGAGGCCAAAGGTGGCCCTAGAAGGCAAGGGACACATTCCAAAATGTCTCCCCAGCCTGAGGCCTGCAGCAGAGCCCAAAGTCCGATAGGGAGTGCACACCTGCATTCCAGTCATTGAACAGGCCATAAATACCCGATCACCCACCAGAAAGGATGCTGCTTCCACCTGCCCACGAACGCTTGCCTTTCCCCCGCTCCGAAGCCCAGCTCCCCAACTCCCCAAGTGCCCCCTGGTCCAGGAGGCCTTCTGGCTTGGCTAGGAGGAGCTGAGGATCCCCACCTGGGCACGGCCCTTTCCTCCCACCACCTCCTCCTCTTCTCCAATATCATAAACAACCAACCATTAGGAGAAGCCCCCTCTCTTTTCGAAGAGGCCTTGCGATGCTACAGTCCTGCTGGGCACTACCAGGAGAAGCCCAGAAATTTCTCAGCCAGCGGCCAGGCTCCCAGCTCTCTCTGCCACCCGCGGGCTGTGTGACCTTGAGCGAGTCACCAAACCTTGGTTTTTTTCCACCTGAAAAATGAGGGTGTCGGCAAGGGACACTTTCACAGGGCTCTTGAAAGGAGCAAATGAGATAATGCACAGGAAGTGAAGTTAGGCATTATTAGTCTCAATGAGGGATGTTACTAAAAAATCACCCAAACTTCTAATTTTACTGGTGAGGAAATGATGGTCTAGAAAAGACATGAAAAACTTAGGGGATTGGGACTCTCTCTCCTCTTCTTCCTCCTCCTCCCCCTATAACTCATCTCCTTAGTTCAGCATGGCCTTCTAAACATGGGTTTCTAAACTTTGGGGGATAGACAGATCCCTTGGAGAATCTGATGAAAGTCAAGGACTTTCTCTCCCTAAAATACACTTGTTCGCACACCTCCAAGACGGTGCAGGTAATTTCAGGGGGTTCGTGTGCTCCAGGTTGGGTACCTTTGCTCTGTTACAGAACCAAAGAAGAGAGAGACTGTCACAGTTCTTGGGTCACACTTCCTGCAGTTATAGCCCCAGGGAAGCAAGAAATGACAAGGGACAGAGCCTGGACTTTGGGGAGCAAACCTCACCCAAAGAGTCTCCCAAAGCCCAATCCCCAAGGCCCTGGGAAGAAAGCCCCGTTTGAATCCCCTCCAAACTCCTCGCTACCCTCCCCTACCCCCACCTGTCCTCGCTCTATCCAGCTAAAACTCCCTGCCCACGGCTCTTCTCCTGAACTGGTTAGTTCCATGCCGGGTCTTTGAAAGTCAAACAGAATCTTCGAGACCATCTATACAAACATCTTTATCTTTCCAGATGAGAACTGTAAACAACAAAAGGTGTACTGACTTGCTGAAGTCACCCAGATAATCAGAACAGAAGTCAGGCCGTGTTAACCAACTCGGTGCCACGCGTGTGCACTGAGGTCCTACTGTGCTTTCTGTGCCCTGCTGGGAGGGGTGGGGCCGCCAAGATTGGTGAGCTGTAACCTGATTGGCCAAGCACGGCTAAAATCCTTGGAATGAGAGTGCAAACAGGGTTACCAGGCTCCCGATTGTGTAAGAGAGGTTGCAAAATCTCTAGAAGTTCAGCAAAGGCAGAGTTAGAGCACTCATTCATTCATTCATTTAACAAACATTCATCGCATCCAAGCGCTAGACACGGGCAAACAGTCAAGACAGCCACCCAGTCAAGGTTCCTGCTCTCCTGAAATCCTAGAGAGGGAGAAAGACAGTCTCTAAACAAAAAAATAAAATTTAGCTACAGACAGATACCATAAAGAAAATAAAAAGGGTGAGAGGCAAGAACCTGGTGCTACCATTTACACTGAGGGGAGGAAGGGGTTCGAGGAAGGCCTCTGGGAGGAGGCGACATTTGAACCGAGTCCTGAGCGGCGAGGAGGAGTGTCCATGCGCAAGCGTGGAGGCAGCATATTCCCGCAGGCGGACGCGGCAAGTGCAAAGTCCCTGAGGCAGACGGGAAACTGACATGTTCAAGGAATGGCGAGCTCGTTGTGTGCAGAGCTTGAGGGGCCCTGGGGGAGGCAGAGAGGTGGAGGGAAGGTGCAGCAGGCCTGCCCTGGAGGGCAGGTGAGGAGGGCAGGCTCCATGTCGCCTGTGCAGAGAGGCAGCCCCGTCCCAGACCAGGCAGTGGGAGGAAAGGAACAAGGGATGGAAATACTTTTGAAGCAGAACAGGCCGTGGGATTGCTAATGACTCCAGGTGTGGGGGTTAAAGCAAAAGGGTGACCAAATGTGGAAGCCAGGCTTGGGCCTGAGCACCTGCGTGGCTGGGGGTGCCTCTCCAGGTACAGGAAAGCACCAGGCTTTCGAGGGGGGACCAAGGCTTGCCATTCACATATCAGCAAAGAAGCCCAATAGCCTTTGCTCACAAAACCTGTTCCGTCTGAATGTACTATAAAACAGTTGGACATATGACAACAAAAGATAGAGCCATTTTAAAGAGTTCAAAGGAGGCTGTGACAGAGGATGGGGGAGCCAGGCTCTAAAAATGGCCTCAGAAGCGTATGTATCAATCACGAGTAAAATTTCAAAACTGCTTTCCTTGTGGTTTTTCCACACCTTGCGGCAGAGAGCCAGGCCTCTCCCTCCAGCCAGAGGAGGGGCCGTGTGGTCAGGGAGAGAGGGCTGGCAGGGGCACCCCAGGCCCCGTGTTTACAGTTCTTAAACTCCAGCGAGCACTCTCATCCCATTTGCATGTCATGCAAACCGTGGGCCTTGGATTTTGGCATGGTTCTTTTCATAAGTCAAGAGTTTCTTTTTATTGGAATAAAGTACCAGCTGGAATCATATACTAAACCACGTTCTCACCTTCTGCAGGAAACACGGGCATTAGATCCTGCGGCCAGAGCTCCCACCGGGCGACCGAGATTAGAGGGCAGCACTCACCGTCTGCCCCGTGCCTGTCCATGCAAACCCGAGAGGAGGACGTGGCAAGTTTCTCCCACTAGGGATTCCGATTGGGAAAGCCCAGCCTCTTCCTCCAACTCCATACCCTGTGGTGTCCCCACTGGACCCCAAACCCAAGACTTCGGGCCTTGACCAGCCCTAGCCTCAGCCCTGCCTCTCTTCTGGGCCTACCCTGAGCCCTGCCAGATCTTCCCTCCTTCTCCCCCCACCGCAGTCCCTCCACTTGGTTCTTCTGAACTTCTGATGGGAGATGTCCTGAGCGTTTTCCTCCTGCGCTGGTCTAGCACTAGGCCACCTCCTCCAGGAAGCCCGCCGTGGCTAAGCCTGCTGCCTGGCAGCACGTGTCCAGCCCTCTGTCTCTCTCTGCTCTGTATGCTGGTGTGTGATCACTCTGGATTGCGTGTGTGTGTGTGTGTGTGTGTGTGTGTGTGAATGTGTACACATAACGACCTGAGGGAGCACATCTCCTGTTCACATTGGAGGATCTTAAGGGGCCTCAGAGTGACGAGTGAACACCTTTCCATTCTCTTCTTCAGGAGTCCCCTCGATAAGGCTGTTCCTGGTCACTGTCCCATCTTCCCACTCTCCCTGACCTCTGCTTCAGCCTCCTCCCATCCAGCCAACAAATATTTACTGAGCACCTACTGTGTGCCAGACACGTGCTGGAGGCACACGGTGGCCCTGACCTTCATGGGACTGTTATTCCGGGTGGGGGTCACCCTACAAACAGAGAAGTCGATGGGTGAGTGGGGAGTGTGTACGAAATACAAGCAGAGAGAGAGAGAGAGAGAGATTGTCAACCACGGTGATAGGTGCCATTTGCTCACTCAACAAACTGAGCACCTACTATGTGTTGTCCTCCTCCAGGGACTAAAGATACATCAGTGGATAAAACAGACAGAAACACCTGCTCCTGTGGGATTTAAATTCTAGTGAAGTGAGATAGACAATACACGATGCACACAATAAATAAATAAACGTTATAATGTGAAAACATTAGAAAGTGATAAGTGCTTAGAGAAAAGGTAAAACAGTACAGGTTAGAGGGGTGGAGAGTACGGGGAGAATATGGCCATTTTAAATAGAGTGCACAGGGGAGGCTTCATTAGGAAAGCCATGTCTGAGCAAAAGGGGAGGCATTAATACGCCAGAGATCAAACTGTACTACAAAGCCGTAGTAATTAAATCAATATGGTATTGGCACAAAAATAGGAATATGGACCAGTGGAACAGATGTGAGAATCCTGATATAAAACCATCCTCATATAGCCATCTAATCTTTGACAACGACAGACAAAACTCCCCTGGGGAAAGACCCTTCTTCCAATATGGTGCTGGGAAACTGGATAGCCACCTGTAAAACAGGCTAAGCAGGACCACACCTTTCACCTCTCACAAAACCAACTCACGCTCATAAAGAGCTTAAACCTAAGGTATGAAACTATTAGACTCTAGGAAAAGTTGGAACAC